CTGTCGACTACGGCGTCCTTCCGGAGACGCCCGAAGACGTTGACCGGTGTCTGCATTCCATCGAGGAGGTGATATCCCGGGCCAGGGAACAACACGTGCCAGTATCCAGACAGGTGAGCAATACTCTGAACCTTGACGGATATACCAAAGACCTTATAAGACTCCGTAACACCATCCGAAGGCAGTACCAACGCTCTGGTCTACCTGTCCTTAAGACCCACTGTAATCGCATAACAAAAACCACCCAAGCCAGGATGGTGGACCTCAGAAACCAGGACTTTGCTAAGAGGATTCGCTCTCTCCCAGATTGTGCAAAGCCCTTTTGGAAACTAACCAAAATTCTTAAAAATAAGCCAAGACCCATTCCACCACTGACTCCACTGGATTGCTACGGCAACCCAGTGGTTCATCTGATAACTCCTGAAGAGAAGGCTGCCGCGATAGGTCAATACTTCGTCAGCTCCCATAATCTCGGACAAAACATCGCCAGCCCTCACGAAGCTGAGGTTGCTGAAAACGCAACCAACCTCCATCAGATTCCCAATATTTTTTCCGAGGAATCCGAGATTACGGCTGACGAACTGTTGGCCTGTATCAAATCATCTAAAAACATGAAGGCCCCAGGTTTCGACAACATCCTGAATCTGGAACTCAAACACTTGAGTTCCAGATTCTACAACCATTTGGCACTGATTTTTAACATGTGCCTCCGACTTGGCTACTTCCCCTCGTGCTGGAAGTCAGCTAAAGTCATACCCATCCGGAAACCTGGGAAGGAACCGTCCTATTCTTCAAGTTATCGACCAATCAGCCTTCTCTCAGGGTTATCAAAACTGTTCGAAAGAGCAGTCTACCGCCGGCTTTTAACATCTGCCGAAGAAAACAACTTGTTACTTGAGGAACAGTTTGGTTTTTGGAAAGGTCGTTCGACCGTCCACCAGCTGACTCGAGTAACAAACATTCTCAGACGGAACAAGTCTGTTCCGAAAACATCTGCTATGGCGTTGTTGGACGTTGAAAAAGCGTTCGACAATGTCTGGCATGATGATCTGGTGTTCAAATTACAGCACTACGGTCTTCCAATCTTCCTAGTGAAGATAATTAACAACTATCTATCCAACAGGACGTTCCACGTCTCTCTGAATGGCTTCACATCGGATGCTTTCAACATCGGTGCTGGGGTTCCACAAGGAAGCATCCTTGGCCCCATTCTATTCAACCTGTTCACCTCCGATATGCTGGCTCTCCCTGATGGTGGATCGTTGTCTCTGTTCGCAGATGACACATCCATCGTCTACAAGGGTAGGGTCATCGGAGCTTTGACTGCCAAACTTTAGAGAGGCCTGGACGTCCTGTCGGAATATTTCAACAGCTGGTAGATCCGTATCAACGCGGCAAAGACCCAGGTCATCAACTTTCCACACTCTAAATCTCCCAGACTTGTTCCGTCGGCGAATAATAAGATCTGCCTCAACGGCACAGTGGTGGAATGGTCGAAAGAGTTAGTCTACCTCGGCTTAACACTAGACAGCAAGCTGATTTTCAGGGAGCACGTTGATAAAACCAAAACCAAGTGTAACATCTTGATAAGATCACTGTATCCACTGATCAACAGGAGGTCTACTCTATCCCTGAAAAATAAGCTTGATGTCTACAAACAAATCATCCTTCCCGTAATAGAATACGTGAGGCCAATCAGGGAGAGTATTGCCAAATGCCATCACCGTAAACTCCAAAGGATCCAGAACAAGATCTTTAGGATGGTCCTAAACAGTCCCCCGCGGACTAGAAATTCTGAGATCCACCTCCTGGCTGGAATTCAGACATTAGAAGAACGGAGAGTATTCATCCTGGAAAGGTTCAGAGACACCTGTCTGAGATCAAATCATCAGATCATACGTGATCTAGCACATTAGGTAAGTTATACTCGTAGTTAGGTAGGTTTTCACTTTTTTCAATTCAAACAAAACACACCCCCAATAGGGGTATTCTGTAAGCTAGTTGAAAAACGTAAATATTAAATTAGAATATCAAATTAAACAAAGATGAATAGCCAGATAGGCTAATCAATTAAAATGTTAAATCAATGTTCTATTATAATCAACAGAAATAAACATAATTTTAATACTACGCATAGCGTTCATCGTTTATTGTTCATTCAGTTTTGTACATTATACAGTCCACATCGAACAATAAAACTTTGATAGTGAAATCGTGCTTTTTACTGTACAGACAGCAGCCCAACCAACAGTCCTTTTCAGGACTATGAAGTTGTCCAACCAAAGACTGAGCTATCGAACCTGGGCGTACTCCTGTTTGGCATTCCCATAGGGGGAATTGGCCGTCAAGCTGGGAACCTCCAAGTCGAGGTTTGCCCACACCATCTCCCGTGTCCGTGATCGGACATCAATCGTTAGTCCGTTTTCGTTGCCTCCCAAGTAACAATCTCGGTTTTATAAGGGTTCTGTATACCATGATTTAGACTTGCAGCATGCTTTAAAACCGCCATAAAACTTGCAATGTTACTTGGGCTGGGTCTATGCCGATTTTTCCCATCTCACCGGATAACCAAATAGTGGTAAAAGGTGTAGTGCATTTTAATTCGAGCGCCCAACATAGTTAACAACTTTGAATCTTATTCTTTATTAAAATTCTTCAATGCACGACGTGTAAATATTTACATTATTGAAAAATCTCGGATAATGGTGACATTTTGATCTTTGAAAACAGCGTGAATGAAAAAAAGGCCTACTGACTGCACCTACCTAGATTACCTTTGTTTTGCCAAAAAAAAAAAAAACTTTACGCTTTAAAGTCTCAAAATATTGAAAACTGTTGATGATGATGATGGTCCCACCTTTTACCTCTACAAAGCTTTGAGCTGCACGATTTATCTTTAAGATAATTAAGTATAACATTTTAACCCGGTTAGCAAACAGAAACGAACTGGTTACAAATACAGATATAAATTCCCTCTAGCGTTCACATTTGCTTCACAGCAATAAAAATGTGTAAAAGTTAGGCGTTAACCTTTTAGTTCGCCTTTTTGTCCACCTAAAATATTCATAAGTATTACAAGCGATTAAGTCAGTTGCCCTACAGCTGTCTACAGCAGCAGTCGATTTTTTATTTCGTTGTGAACCACACGATAGCCTGTTTTCGAGACTCGCTATTATATAGTTGCTCTTTGTTCGTTGCTAGCAGTTCAGTGCCTTTTGTTGCTACGGTGCAAGATGTGTGAAGTAAAAAACACCATCAAGTTTAGCTTCAGCCATTGTGATGCCAAACCAAACATCGGAGAGATAGTAAATTTCGCCAAAGCACTCGACGCGGATCCGGCTGAAATGGAAGCTGTTTATCGCATTGGTGAGGAAAGGGGAGTCTTCATGAAGTTCAAATCAGAGGAAGCGATGCTCCATGCTCTGACATTCAATTCGGAGGATTTAATCTTCCATTATGCGAATGGAACGACGGCAAAGGTACGCATGTCGCATGCTGGTGAATTCATTCAATATGTGCGTGTGTATGACTTGCCACCAGAGGTACCCGACAACGAGCTGGATAAAGTGCTGGGGAAATATGGGAAAATTAAACGCATCATCCGGGAGAAATTTCCAACTGATCTGTGTTTTGAGGTGTATACAGGGATACGCGGTGTATATATGGATGTGAAGAAGGAAATCCCCACGTCATTACATTTCTTCAATCGCAAAGGAAACATTTTTTATGATGGCAACAAAGACAAATGTTTTCTGTGCAAGGCGGACGGACACCGGAAGCTTTCCTGTCCCAAGCGGAAGGCTCGGAAGGAACCGGAGAAGCAACTGAAGGAAAAAGGAAAGCAAAGTGAAAGAAAACAACACAGCAGCAGTACGTATGCTGGTGTAGTGGTGGAAGGTGCGTCGTTTGTCATTAGCGATCAGGAAACGGATACGGGGTTGGAGATGTTGAATGCAGATAACGAAATGGACGTGACTACCCCGACGACCGACGAGAGTAGCGGAGAGCATGCAACGGGAAACGATGTCCAGAAACAGCAGCAGCGATCACGATTCGGGTTCAATGAAAATGAGGAACAAATTCGGGAAAGAAAGAAGTTGCGTGCACGGGAGAAGATCGCTTTGTCGCCGCTTCGATCGCCACCCAGAAAAATGATATGATAAAATATATTTGTACATATTTTTCTTTTGTATTTTGAGTACCATAATTGGTATTCTATGTTACTCGGCTCCGCTAAGTTATTTTTATAACATTTGAGCCTGCCAAATAAACGAAATGAAAAAAAAAAAAATACAAGCGATTAAGAGTTAATCCTATCTCTCTATATCCGTAATATGCGCGCGAGGCTCAAACCTTTATAGACTACTTTTCTTAAACTACTACTATTAAATCAAATATCAAAAATCCATCATCACCATCGTGGCGAACAAAATAGTTTTTGCAGTGCTACAATAATTATTAAAAAAGTCGTTATGACAGCTATCCATACAAAATAATCCGTTAGAGTTAACTTCGTCAAGATACATAATTTGTCAATTCATTAAAAAAAATCACTGGATAACTGTAAAAAAAAAACAGTTTTAACGTATGAAGTAGTATTGTGTCTAGGCATCGAATTGGAAACATTTACTTCTTTAAAACACAATGAATTCTGTGAAGCACATGTCAGGAAAGTGGTGTTCTTATTTCATACGCGTTTCTAGTATAATATCTATGAAAATCACTTCCTCTTTCAATTCGATCACACAAAGTGGAGTGATTCCTCTAGCAGAAGGTATAGCTGGTTTGCGAAATCGACTTTTTGTTCACGAGAAATCTGTGATTGAAGCGGTTGCAAACAAAAACAGTTATGCCCAAGCCTCATCACAGTCCAAAAATTCAATTAAGAGTAAGAAGTTTGATTGTTGAAGATTAACGTGAGACATGTTTTAGTCAATTCAAGCATTACATTTTTTATAGATAGTAATACGGACATTAATACAAAAATATGCTGTACTCACCAAACTCCAAGAGTAGCGTAGGTAACCACTTGAATGATCGTGTATGGTTCAGCGCTGCTGCAGCACGTTCCATCGTTGTAATTCATGTAGTCATTACAGTACATGTTGAGCAGAATCTGTATGTCGTGTTTCAGCGCTAATATTCCGAGCTTATTACCATCTACGAACTCATCCACCAGTCCAGATGCAATCATCTTCGAAGAAGACCAAATCTTCGCATCCGAATAGCTTAATATGTCGTAAACCACCTGATTTATGCGATCGATATCATTGTTTTGGACATTCTTCCACTCGTCGTTAATGCGGTCGTGATCGATGGGGTCCTGCAGCTTCCAAATTACTTTGGATTTTTTCGCCACCAAACTGTCTATAGGTTTTACCATTCTGGTCAGATTCTTTTCGAATGCTTTCTGCACTTCTTTAGTTACATTCCCATTGTGGAAGGTTGGATAGGTGCAGCTGGCCACAATCAAACTGGGAGGGTCTTCCTCATGTTGCCATTTAATGAACTCGTCGATCATGGTTTTTGAAACCTCATTAGCATAGATGTAGTTGATCTGCAATCGTAGCTTGTAATCCACAAATTGCAAGTTTTCTGTTTTACCCAGCGTCGACTGAATCGAGGCATTGTCTGCATCACGGGGCTTTAAGTGGTTTATCATCTCCAGGTACAAAGTTCGTATTCGAACGTCGCCAATGAACACAAAGTGGTTCTGGTTACCCCAGAAAGCCAAATAACGGAAACATTTTCTCGAATCACTGCAATGAATGCAAAATTGTAGTTTATTTCGGCCATTTTAAATAGGTTGTTATTCTCGGCTTACGTTTCTGTATATTTATGCAGCATACATCCGAACGGTTGCCACTCCTTATCGCCCTTGAATCGGCCATCGCTTAGAAGCCACTTGCAAGAATCACTACCTACAAGCAATTCACCGGATATTATCGAAATGGAGTTGATATTTAGGCCTTTTTTAATTTCTGCTTACCATATCGTAGATGTAATAAGCCGTGATAGATTGTAAACCCAACTACCATCAAGAACGCTAGCTTCTTGGCGTTGATGGCATTTAAATTCTGGATAAACTGTTCCGCTTTGGATATTTTCACTTCACCTCCCATTGCGAAAGGCTTTTAAACGGATTCACCGGCTATTTCTGTTCAAATCTGACATGAAAAACGAAATTTCTTAAATTACCTAAATCACGAAAAGAAAATCAGTCCGCTGATTGCTGCCGAATCAAAACATTCGATGCAATAATTTGTGCATCACGCAAGTGTCAAATTTTGCGTGCACGGCACGGAGGATCCTCGTCTCGAGACGCCGGTCGGTGCATTGAGTGCACTGCAAAAAAAGAAATCGATCAACGTATAATTTATTCAATATAGTAAATAATAATTATTTAATAATTAAATTTATGAATTATTCAGCTGACGTATTAAATATTGATGTGATTGCAAAAATCAGATGGATGTAAATTTGTTCCCAAAAACTGTGTTCCTATCTACATCGAGAAAGAATGACTTCCCTTATAAACGGGTACCATACACAAACGGTATATTAGGACATTTTTTACTTATGGTTTGAGAACTTTAATGGTAATGGTTATGGTAGTCAGTAGATAATTGTATTATCGGTCAACTTTACGTGGAATATATTGCGGATTTGTTAATCATTAATTTACAGGCAATCAATTCGCGATGTATTCCACATAAAGTTGATCAATGTTACAAAACCATCCCGGGACCTTACTGACTACCATAACCATTACCATTAAAGTTATAAAATCATAAATATAAAAGTTCTAATATAATTCCTTTTGGTATGGTAATGGTTCTTAACAACAACTTAACAAGTTCACTTAAAAAAAAAACACAATACAAAAGGTTAAAGCTTTATCCCACAAACGTTCATGTTAAGTTCCATAACCATTTCAGCTAAACTTTAGCAGGGATTATACACAATGTTTAACCATTTTTGATAAGGTCAAGTAATGGTTCGCATTTATGCGGGATACTGCATAAAGTTGGGATCGAGGTTCGGATGATATCCCGAATTGTTAGTTAGGTGCCGCTCATAAACTTGTATGACCTACTATGAACATGAACATTATGTGTATAATAATTATGAGCACTATACAACAACCATATACAAACTATGAATGTGCTCATGATTTATTATACAAATAATGCTCATGCTCATAGTTTGTTATCCAAATTAAAAAGCCTGAATTTATAAAGAGGCGACATGACAAAATTGGAACAATCGATTATCTGTCAAAGTCATAGGAAAAGTCATTATAATCGAGCAAAAGACCTGTCAAATGGATAAGATGTCGTCTCTTTATAAATTCAGGCTCTTTAATCCAAATGTATCCGCGGCATTTATATGATTATGCGGGCTGTGTGCAGCAGTTTCGACAGTTTCAGCAACTTTTGTTACTGTGCATTCCTTTATTTATCTTTCGTAATGAAGTTTGCCACATGGAGCAAAGTTGAAAACAGCTTTTTTCTTTGTCATCTCTGAAGTCAGTTCAGGTCTCGGCGTTCCGTCGTCCATAGAGATTACTAAAGTATGATTGTGTCAGTGATTTGTTTTCATCAGGAAAATTTTCCGCTATGAAATTTTTTTCCCGATGAAAACAATTTCCGTATACGTATACGTGACGTAGTGTGTGTACGATAAACGTCAGCAATCTATATTCAGTCTCAATTCCAGTCGTTCCGGATTATCGTTTTATGTTCGGAATCTTTAGTTTGTCATCATCCGTCGGTCGGTTTGGTTCGTACTTTATTTGTGTCGTTCGTACAGTTCTAGACTGCTGGTGAATTGTAGGCGCTAATGCAGTGTATTTATCTACTACTAGAGCACCACTTACCATCAAACTGGTGAATCTTACTCTACCATCACTCTTGCAAAACAGGCATATTTTACATGTGGATATCTATTTACCTACATAAATGCATACACATTTTTCCATGTTGTGCAGTGCAAATTTTACGATTTAGCATAAAAATAGTGCAGCACATTATCTAGTAAAACTTCAGAACAACTAATTTTTATGATCATTGAATTACAGCATTAATTGTATCGATTTGTGTTTTGTGATGTACCGAGAAGAAAATATTGTAGGTGAACGAAAAACTACATACGTCAAATGTGTGCTCAATCAATAAAGTAGTTGGTAATAATTATAAAAAAGGAAGATTGTTAAATTATGCAGATTTGCTCTGTTGTTCAGCTGGAAGACTCAGAACTCTCAGCTTCTGGCGGAGGCGTATAAAAGCATGTACTGTCGTCGCTTTAGCTGATATGATTAGGTAAGTACATATCAACGCACTGCATTGCATTCAAGTAGTAGTTAACCCACTGAAATGGAATGTTGGTGGAATTAAATCATTTGAACATAGATATGGTAGTCCCAATCAAAAACAAATGGAAGACGGAACCAGGGAAGTATTCTGTGAGGCAATAGAATGTGGAACAGTTTAGACCAAAAATAAATCAATTCATCTGCGATGCGATCTTTATGGCACATATTTCAATTTACAATATTATTCCATTCATTCTCTAAACATGATGAGACAGTTAAAAAAAATGAATATTTCACTTGTCATGTTAAGATTTAAATCGGGTTCTGAATTTTTCTCCGGGGACTCCCGAAAAACAACATGACCACCAATAAATAATCTATTGAGTGGTCGTGCGATTGTATTTGTTGCATGACGGGTTTTAAGTTACCGGTTCCAGGCACGTTCTGGCTACTTGCTTCGGAAATTTTGTGCCTATATAAAGCGCAGTCAATTGATCTAAACATATTTTGTAATACAAATGCGATTCCTATTGCATAAACTACAGCGTTTCGCAAATGATACGTCGCAAGATGCATCTTTGTAGAGGGACATGGGGCAGTTTGGCCACCATAAGAAAATAATCACTTATGGTAGCAAATTCAGTGAAAAATTCGAATGATTTTCAATGAACTGAATAATTTGATGCCACATATAACTTAGGGCCCATGCATTAATTATGTCACGCTTAATCGAGCAAAAAAAATTAACCCTTCCCCCCTTATCGTGACGTTTTTCCTATACCTAATGCATTGCTTGTCATAAAATCTTAGCCCCCCCCCCTCCCCCCTTAGAGCGTGACATAATATATGCATCAACCCTTATGCATACAAATATAATATAAAAAGTAAACTTTTGACTTGTCTGGATTAACAAAATGTTTTTTTTTTATCGAAATACATTGAGGTAAAATAAAGGCCGGATTTGCCCCGAGCCTTCCGGTTAAGGTGCCCTGGAGAATCCTTTATTACTTTAATTTATCATTTTTTGTAATAATTGAACAGGTTTAGTTCAGATATAATTTTATGCGAAATAAACTTGTTGAGTGCAGATTCAAACTGCATACAACGATGCAACCATTCAATCATAGCAAGCATTATAATCAGCATAAATAAATTATCTTCAGTCGTTGTTCATTACTCCATCAAACCAGTTGGTTTTACTCTTATTTGCGCCTTTACAACAGGTTATGGGCCTGCGCGAATAATTTTGCATAAGCCGAAACTTCTTGAGGAATGCACGGAAGCCGATTCAATCTGCAAAAGCTGAATTGGAATTCCAACTATTCAAGGTGGCGCTTCAACTTGGAACTACTCTTGGTTCGGGAAGACCTGTGGCGTTACGTGGTACCAAGTGAAAAACCGGACGCGGAAGCAGTTGCCGTCTGGAACGAGATGTCAAAGCCAGGGCGACCATCGGACTGCTCATCGAAGACAACCAGCACGCGTTGATCCGTTTGTCGAAGACAGCGAAGGAAGCATGGATGTCACTCCAGAACCATAATCAGAAGGTAAGCCTCACGTCAAAGGTCTCGTTGCTGAAGCAAATCTGCGACAAGCGTTATACGAAAGGAGAGGACATGACCGAACACGTTTTTGCTATGGAGGAACTATTCAGTAGCCTTGCGAATGCCGGACAGCAATTGGAGAAAAATCTCATGGTCGCCATGATCCTGAGAATCCTGCCAAGCACGTTCGGCACCCTGGCTACCGCTTTGGAGAGCCGGTCGGACGAGGACCTGACCCTGGAACTTGTCAAGCGGAAACTCCTGGATGAAGCCGCGAAACGGCAATGCTCCGGGACGGATTCGGCGATGAAAGTTGGACAGGGCATCAGGAAGAAGAAAACGCTTATCTGCCACTATTGCAAAAAGGCAGACCACAGTGTCGACAATTCAATTCATACCGTTTGATCGTTCAACCCTTGCACATCGTGAGCCCCCTAGCTTCACTACCAACAACAGAGAGAACTAAGTTGAAGTTTCGATTCAGTGTTTTAGAGTATTAATAAAGACGCAGTTCAGATTGGACGTATTTTGATTTTAATTCGACACAAATCAACCGAAAACCAATCCATTGAGCTATTTTTATAAACATTTGGTCCTTCGAACCGGATATTGATGGTTTTTATGTTGGTTTGGGCCGAAATTCAGTGAAAAAAGTGTACTTTTCCGCAAATTTGCACCGTGTGCAAATAATTCGGCACTCTGCCATTCGACGCTTCGTACCCGCGGTCCTACCGTTGTGTGTGTGCGAGTGCGAATCATGTTGTGACGTGTCCGGAGCACGAAACAAAAATAAAATTGGATGCTGCCGTGCAGCAAGTACTTTTTTCGTGGAAGTTGCTCGTAGCAACTAATCAAAAGCACAAAATTGCTAGTGGAAGCTGTTAGAGGCTCGAAGAAATCGGGCATTAGATGCTGCCAAGCAGCAAGTGCATGTTTTCGCGTTGAAGTTGAACAAAAGCTCTAGGACGTTGGATGCTGCCGTGCAGCAAGTGCAAGTGTTTAAGCTGCTTGTAGCAGTCGAACATAAACCAGAACTTTGGATGCTGCCGTGCAGCAAGTGCTCGTATAGAAGCTGCTTGTAGCAGCTAAGTGGAATTGAAGAAACTTTACCCTACATGAGTGGAAAAAACCCCAGCGATGTTACCCCAAAAGTGTTGCGAAACATAACCCCGAAGAATTTGTTGGATGCTCTGCTTGGATCGGTGTCGAATTGTCAACCTGCGGGAACAGTGGCACAACAGAAAGCAGCGCAAGCAAAACGATTAGAGCAGCAAAAAATGGAGCAGAATCTCGATAGGTTGTTGGATCGGCGCGATCTGTTGAAGGTGAAGCTATTCCAGATTGCAGAAGAGCTAGAAGAAGAGTCGAATCTC